TTTGCCCAATCGAGATATATTTATATAAATTTAATTATTAAAATTAGTTGTTTAAAACCGTTAAATGATGAGAATGAGCCGGGCTTCAATAGGGCCACCATTGACCCAAGCCAACCCCTAACTCTAGAGGCTTGCCCTCAGTTTGCCCCATGCCTACCGACCACAACCTCAACGGGCCATTACCTTGAGACAACCCTAGAAGTATTTTTGTGGTGCAACCTGGGGCGGGCTGGACCCTCTCCCTAGTGATGTTGGAAAGTCGAACGAAAATCCTTGTTCTAAAAACTAAACTATATGAAAATATATATAATGAAACTATTTATCTTTAATACAAAATGATCAAACCATATCAACTTAGTTCACCATTGAGCGTATGCCCTCAAACACATTAGCAATGCGCAATGCATGAAAGCATCATTTATTAACGCACACTTTTTTAAATACAAAATATCCCTTATGGTAAAAGTTTGTCTAAAGTGTCAACCTAATATGCACGAGTATGGTGCACCTGAAGAACCAATAGAGAAGGTTGTTCCTTTTTTTGAAATCAAATTGATCATCGCACCCCTCAAGATTCATAGATGTTTAAAAAAAGGGATTTCTAATCTTGAAAATCATTCATCTTCTAACACGTTACTTGGACAGTCTATTTTTTAGATTTTTCAGAGCCTACAGATCTACTTGATCGTCACATTTTTTAGAACTTTAAATTTCATAATTGCTGGCAACAATAGATTTTAATTTCATTGCAAGGCTTTGCAGCACCTTTTAAAACTGTATTTTCGACACCTTACTTCAATAATATAAGGTTAACACCTTATACAAACTTCACCCATCTCATGTACCAGTTTACCCTAAAGAAATAACATGTTCACCCGACAAAATTTCATCCATGCATTTAAGCAACCAACTTTGGCCCAGGCCCAGCCCGATAACGGAGCCTGAATTACAAGCTTGAACAAGGTTTAAAACTCATTAAAATATGATTGCAAAAGATATTATACTGTCTATATACTACTTCAGGTAAAGTTCTATCTAAGATAAATTTTAGGAACACGAACTTTCGATATAACCTCTTCAACCTATAAATTAATTTTAATTAAAAAAATCCCAGCCACATTTTCGAAAAAAATAATATCTCAAGATTAAGGAGAGACAATCCAATTTTTAAATAGCATTCGTTGTTCTTTTTTTTTAAAATCCGTAGTAGCACTGTTGGGTAGCTCCCAAAATTTTAGACTAAAAAAATGTCCCCAAGTACGACACCTAACGGCGGAGTCGCCGCCGCGGGGTAACCTTTGTTTCCTGCTTCGTAAAAAAAAAAATATATATATATATATATATATATATATATATATATTTATTACACATATTATGTCACGTCTCATTAAGGAGGAGAGATAAAGCAGTCGGAATGAATCAAAGGAAGGTTTAAGAGATGTGAAAGAAAGGGAACGGACGGGCGGCTCCGCAGAAACCGAGAAAGCAAGAAACGCAACCCCATGCACAAATAAAAGCCCATTTAAAGACGCATTATTTTTTACCCGAAATACAACCTCTCCAGAATCCCTGCCTTTTAATAAGAAACTATTTGCTTTATGTTTAAAATTGAAAATCCCAAAGAGAAATTTCAAGTTTCAACAACCGCACGCAGCCAAAAAACAAAAAGTAAAAATTGTTAGAGAGAGAGAGAGGAGAGAGAAACTAGTGAAATGCTTAGACAGGGGTTTGACAGCAGCTGAGGGAGAGAGAGAGAGAGAGAGAGAGAGAGGAGTAGTAGTACGTACGTACGACAACGTACGTACGAGGAGGGGAGGGTAGAGAACGAAGTAAGTAACGTAGAAGTAAGTAAGTAACGAA